TCTTAGCATTCGGAGAGATCAAGAAAGTCGAGTTGCCAGTGGAACGAGGGACCAACAAGCATAGAGGGTAGTAACAGGGTGGGGGGGGGGATTAATTACCTCGTTAGTAGTGCCTCTTACTTCACACCATCTAGGAACCTATAATGTTTTCTGAGGAAGGGGGGACTCATTTTGAATTATCCATATGGCTGGGAATACATAGGAGTTTCACCGGCTTCCCGTAAAGTGGTATGTGAAAAACGGAACGATATGTATGGAATTGAAAACCCTTGGTGAACTACACCGGACCGATCAACCCACTCCATGGAAAACACATCACGTGTTTCACGCGTTATTCACTGCTCACATGCGTTTTTCGTGAAATATGTTTTTCATATCACTAGGGTGAAACTCCATTCTTTTCGTGTGAACTACATCATCACATTAGCAGCATTTCCCCCCACTGTTATCAAACCTCGAGGATTTCTCAAAGCTGTACGGGTTTATGGTCTTCACCAGTGTAATGAAGAACATATTTCACGACTACTGCACAGCGCCGCGAATATCGCGTTTTTCACCGTAAAACGGGTGAAACTCCAATGTATATTTCATTTCGCGTTGCTCATTATATTGGATCTCCTCAGGTTTGCTTTTGTGGAGTTCTACGAAGAAGGGGATGCACAGGATGCCGTTGATAACATGAATGAAAGTGAATTATATGGGCGAACATTGAGGTGATATTGTAGAGTTGGAAGAAAATATATTCGCCCTCCTCAGCTGCTGAGCTCAGGAGTTTCCTCACTAGTTATAGGAGTTTATAAAAGAATCGAGAGAATCGCACACAAACTGACAAGATTTTTCAAAAAAAATTCTCAGAATTTTCATGTTTTCACCAACACATGTGGTTGACCATGTGCAAATTTCACCACAGTGGGACCGAAATCTGTTCGGAAAGTTACTCGTGTTGGAGTTGATTTTTGCATAGAGAATATGCATGTGTTGGTGACAATATGGGAATTTTAGGGAAATTTTGGGAAATTTTTGATGGTTTTTGTACATTTTCTGCCGTATATAAAACCTTGAGCTCAGCTGAGAAAAGGGAGCGTTTATTCCGACACTACTCTTAGAGTAATTTCATCGCTCGTGAAAACGACAACAGTGTTGGAAAATATGCACATGGTCAAAATTATGAGGAAATTCAAGTTGGTTTTCGTATACACTTCTACCCAAATTCGTATATAAACTCCTACTATTAGCGAGGGAACTCCTGAGCTCAACTGAGGAGAGCGAACATATATACTACTCCAACATTGAATGTCAGTGTAGGAATTTGTGTTTGATTTCCCCAGCTGAACTTCCGAGGTGCCATGATAAAATATGTAAAAATAGAAAACAAACACGAAGTAGATTAAACCTAGTATATGATTGGAGTTTTACCTGTTTTACGTGAAGTGGCGTAAAACTCGGTGAAAAACGCGATATTCGCGGTGATATGCAGTAGTCGTGAAATATGTTTTTCACTAGTGTTTTTCATATCACTAGGGTGAAACCCTATAATATTAGAACAAATATATACTAGTTTATCCCGTATAACTATAATGGAGTTTCACCCGTTTTACGTGAAGTAGCGTTACACTTGATGAAAAACATGTGATATTTTTGCTATGCAATAGTCGTGAAATATGTTTTTCATATCACTAGGGTGAAACTCCAATGATGAAATACATAGAGTTATTGCATGCCTATATAATATGAAAATGACTAAGAAATTTACTCACTACGTCTTGAAAATTTACACTAGAAGTGGGCAATATTTTTACCAAAAAAATTATACCTTTTGTGGGTTGTAAGAATTTCGCGGCAATCGTGTTTTTTTTCTATCAGAGTTAACATGGCGCGGCAGCCCGGTGCCAGCGGTCCTGATCCATACAAACCGATCTGGGCGGATGAGTTCCTGTAAGATTCTTTGGGTAGGTTGTCGGCGATTTATGGTAATGCTCAGATATCGTCAAAAACTCGTTGAGCAAACTGCCGCTAAAGGAAGTACATCTCAATGATGAGTAACGATTCCAACGGTGTTAGATGTGCTTAGTTGATGTATAGTGTTAATGTGGGTGGATGATGAGAAAATTGTGTACACAATATCCGTCATCGTACTTGTCGTCTTGGCTAGCGAACGAATTGTTATGGACTCTCGTTAGGTTTTCGAATTCAACAGCTTTCGTACGAATTGAATAAGTATTGAAGTATTGGAGTTTCACCCTAGTGATATGAAAAACACTAGTGAAGAACATATTTCACGACCGGGTTTTTCACCGAGTTTTACGCCATTTCACGTAAAACGGGTGAGTAAGTTGACTTTCGAACTCTCGAGAATTGAAGGTGTTGAAAATATCATTTTGCATAATAACGGTTTGGTTGTTGTTCACACTGTAGTCTCATGACAATACCCACAGCAGACAGTAAACGAGTGGCAACCGTAACAGGCCATCCTGGTGTTAGCCCAAGTAAACACAACGAGAGTATTCCCGGAATAGTATCAAACTTGTGTCTTCACTCAGAGAAATCACTACAGCATAGGCCTGGCCAGAATGACTCTTATACCATCGATCGAGTAAGAAATAGTGAACCTTCTGTATCAATTACAACGTTTCGAGATCTAATAAGTGAAAACCAAGAGTTTAACCCGTTTAACGTGAAGTGGTGTAATACTCCATGTAAATTATAAGACGTATATGTTTCCGCGAACACCGACAAAACACTTGTTTTCTACCGAGTATATAACTTGTATTATAAATTTCGTATTCTCTATTCATATTCATAATTGCTCTGCATTGGAGTTTCACCCGTTTAACGTGAAGTGGTGTAATACTTCATATAAATTATAAGACGTATATGTGTTCACGACCGTCAACACAAATGTTTTCCGAGAAGTGAATTGTGAAATATAATTTTCACTGGTGGTTTTCATATATCACGAATGAAACTCACAAAAAATCATTGAGGGTTGAAGTAAAGTAGCTATAGTAGTCAGGGTAGGAACACATGCACATGGTCACTCACACATGTTGGTGACAATATGAAAATTCTGAGGAAAATTTTGTACGTTTCTACCCAAATTCCAATGAGGAAACTCCTGAGCTCAGCTGAGGAGAGCAAACATATATTCCTCCAACACTGAGAGTAGTTGGTTCTCTGCTCTTACAAATGAGTAAATCGATATATAACTTTCCGGACTATCTCCGTGTTTGTGACACATCGTTATTATCTGGCGACCTCCTTTCCCCACATCTATGTGTTATTCGAATTGTTATGATATCACTCTTGTGGAAGAGCTGTTTACCGTAATATTTGCATCCGTGAAATCAAATCTTAGAAGCATCTTTGAAATTTAGGAAAGGACTGTTGAACACACAAAGTGAACGTAATGGTCGTTTTCTCGACCCCACTCAATCCATGTTGTATTCTCAGGAATTAGATGAGCTTCTACAGAGTTCTAAAGAGCTTGCGGAGTACCTCCTGAACAGTTGTGTGTCACTCAAGGAGAGTAGTTCCACCACATGTGGACTTCCTATAGACTTCATAAGGTGTAAATTCGAAGTTGCCATCCATATTGATGGAGCCCTAGGTATATTCTGGAAGATCTGCATAGAGACATCTTGCATCCCTCGGAAAGATCATCTATAAGCGACAAGTTTCATGCAGTAACGGCATCAGAGAAAAACGAGTAACTCGAACGCGACTGGGGAAAATACGCACATGGTCAACTACATGTGCTGGTGACAATATGAAAATTCTGAGGCAATTTTCGGTAATTCTCATTGGTTTCTGAACACTTGTTTAATTAGTGAGAAAACTCCCGAGCTCAGCTGAGGAAAGCGAACATATCTTCCTTCTCCAACACTGCTGGTGCTATATCATATTGATACCAACACCCCCCGCCCGCTGAACGCATGGGTGGCATTCGATCATTAGATACCGAATAGTTATGCAGTTGCTGCACTACTCTCTCATTGGTATTCGAGCCACAGTAGACTTACTCTTGATAGAGAACTGCGCGACAGGAAGGTTCAGTGATGAAACCACTGTTGTTACTAACGACATGAGTGAGTATCCATCTCGAGTAGGGAGATGAAAGGTGACCTAGGTTGAGGTGTGTTTGCTGGAATGGTTGAAAGCCTGTTTACAGTCTGAAACATTGTGGGAAGATACGCACATGATCAACCATATGTATTGGTGACAGTATGTAAATAATGATGAAATTTTTGGGAATTTCTGTACACTTTACCCGAATTCGCATACAAACTTGTGGGCTCAGCTGAGGACAGCGAACATATATTCCTCCAACACTGGTCTGAACAACCATGCTAGCAAGCACTGCCTGCCTTATCTGAGGCTTCCTCATGATGTTAGTCCCCATCCTGATCAACACCCGTCGACACACTGTACACGTCCGAGCGGCGTATAAATTATTGCAATTATTATGGTCACGAACAGAGTCGAAGGAATCAACTGACACACCTCAAGAAAAAGTGCACAGTGTTTCTTGTGCCGATCTTCGCACCAACGGAGTTTTCGCGTCGAAGAGGTCCTCACAAATTGTTACTCATCAGGAGGGTTTTACAGTGTGAAACCTGCGTGTACACCAAAATGTTCACGAAGTTCATTGGAATATGGAAATATGCACATGGTCAACTGCATGTGTTGGCGACAAGATGAAAATTGTAGGAAAATTCTTGTTGGTTTCTAACACTTACACCTAAAGTCGTATATAAACTCCGATAATAAGTGGGTTCAGCTGAAGAAAGTAAACATAAATTCCGACGCTGCCGTAAACTGACCGGTGTGAACGCCCTGAAAGACAAAGCACGAAATGATTGCTTCTCAGCAAAGACGTCGACCGAGCGGCCTGAGGAATCATGAACATCTTTCAGCGTAGAGGCTCACTGTGGAAGATTCTCTACAGCTATGCTTTTATCTAGATCTTTATTTGCCAGTACTGGAGATCTGCAACAGTTCTGGCGGGTCAATTTCGGGTTGGGAACCCTTGCCGTTACTGCTTCAAACTTTATTAATGCATTCCGCAAATGGTGAGGTATCGGTTCTTGGTTTCAACTGGGCCATGGGACTGTTGATGGGTTGTTGTTGTTGTTATTGCTGCTGCTGTTATTGCTGTAGTTGTTATTGCTGTTGTTTTTGTTGTCGTTGTTGCTGCTGTTGTTGATATTGTTGATATTCAACGTCCAACGCTGGGGTGTGCTTAGTAGTGCCAGTCGTTCCTTTGTCAACTTCGACTGTAGACCCAGGTTCAAAGTAGATCATCTCCAGTCGACAGCTATCACAGACTTCATCACAACTCTCTGTGGTAACTCAGCCGATGGCCATGTAAGGCAGCAATTTTGCCTGCTAGCCATCATCGTTCGCGCTGTATTCAGGATCTAGACAAATGCTCAGTGACCATCGCCGACGTGGTGAGTCGGTTGGGTCACAATCAGTGATTGCGAATGAAGAAGCCATACTAAAATAGCTCAACCGAATATAGCACTCAATAGCGACAATTAGAATTGATTTCATAATAAAGTACTCAATTTCGCAGTACAGCAATCACTTTCATCTTGACTTGGTGAAATTCTCAAGCGATCAGAGTTTTTTTCATCAACAAATAATCACCATTATCATTTTGGCCTAGGCGAATGGCTTTACCCCTACTGTATTCTCTACTATCTAGACCAGCCTAAAATGGGGGAGTTTCTGTTCAACTTCATACCACAACGTGGTGTGATTCTATCCGTACTCTTTCTAGCTTACACAAGACGATGATGAGTAATTTTTGTATTTGCCCTACGAAAAAAATACGCTCCTTATATTCATGGTCAACCACATGTGTTGGTGATAACATGAAGAAATTTCTCATCGGTTTCTGTACACTTCTACCTGAATGCGTGTGTGAAATTTTGTACAACATGAGAGAATTCCTGAGCTCAGCTGAGGAAAGCGATCACACATTTGAAAACACTGCTGCCTAGGTTCGAACTTGATACCGGTGAAGTGCAGATACCTCTGTGCAGCGCTTCAGGCAGTTTGTGGCAACTTTTCTCGCTGCTCACCGTCTGGCATGACCAAGTGATCGACTATGTTGTTGAAGAAGTCAACAATATTCTTTCCGAAGTCCCAACGGAAAGCTCACTTGACGCTGCACAGCTCAGAAGGTCACTTGTCGCGATTTGCGACATACCTCCGCAGTGTTGGCGGAATTTATGTTCGCTTTCCTCAGCAGAGCTCAGGGGTTTCCTCACTGAGTATAGGAGTTCATATATGACTTCGAGTAGGAATGTACAGAAACTAATAAGAATTTCCCAAAATTCTCTT